TGTTGCTTTTACTTCATTTAAGGCTTTATACATAGAAACACTCAGTTTTTGGATCAATGTGGAATTTCAGTGACCTTTTTTCAGTGTTAGGTTTACATGTAGATTCCTGTTTGAATGTTAGGCAGGCAGCTGCCCACTGCACAGCTCAGACATAAGCAGGGTGCAGTTTCTGGTTGTGGATGCTTTTCTCCAAATGTGTGGGCCTAAGATGCACGGGCCGATTCCATATCTAGTCGCAGCTCCTGGAGCACACTGCTTCGGCACAGCACTGGGACGCTGTGTAGAGCCAGAGGTTCCTGGAGGGCAGCAGGAGTCTGTCCTGCATCTGCCTGCCTGCCCGCCTGCCCGCCTGCTTGCTTGCCCGCCTGCCGGTGCAGCTGCCTTTGGGTACATTCCTGCTTGGCCGCACAAGTTCATGTAGCCTGAGGCCAGGCCCCAGGCCGGCATATTTATCTGGAGAAGAAGCAGTGACTTCCTGTGGTTTGGGCCCTGACTCCAGGGCTTGGGCCCAGTGAGCCTCTGTGGGGCTTTTACTTGGTGGCCTTTCTTTCAACCCCTGGATGGATAAACTTTTTATCTATGATGGATTTTTGTTGGCTATTAGATATAAATACTGTTTGCATTTATTTCAGTTACTTTGTAAGAAGCGGAGTATTGTTACGTTGTCAGGGTTGCCCTGGTCTCCTGGGCTCAAGCAGTCCTCCTGCTTCAGCTTCTTGAATAGCTGGGATTACAGATGTGTGCCACACACCTGGACTTCTTACCAGTGTTTAAGTAAAACACTTGGGCTGTTCTTGTTATAAAAACCCATTCTTATGTCATACTTATTTTTTAACTCCAGTGACCTGTGCAATTATTGTAAAGTCAGTGTCTTTTCTTGTAGTACAACAAATGGCATATGGCAACTATTTCCCCTGCATCTCTTGTTATGTTTTTCAGTTTCTACTGACAGACTTTTTAATGCACAGTATTATAGAGTAGAGTCAGCCTTTCCCCTATCAGATACTTGCCTGTTCCCTTGAAATGTGCTGCAGGTTCTTTAATTTTTGAGAGAGAATTGCATTGCTAAAGTTATCTGGTTCCAAGGAGTCATGTTATTCCGTGCTGACTAGGGGGCCTGCCCCGTAGCTCAGTTCTTTAAGTGGCTGCTTCCACAAAGCAGTCAGGCTCAGGTTGCTGTGGTTCAATCCCCAGGACTCAAACCTGCCCTGAAGGCATTTGGAGCCAGGCCCCCCCCCAAAAAAAAAAAAAAATCATTCCATGCTTACTAGCCCCTTTCTGGTTTTCATCCTGTGGTGGGCGGAGGCCATTTTTATAGCCTTGCTGACATCTGATTTTCTGCTGTGGCTGCTGGTGACCTTGGCCTCAACCCTCTGGGTAATCACTTCTACTCATCCCACATTCTCAGAGTGACACTTCCTGAGCACAGCCCTTGGGCATTATGTGGTCAGGGCCCCAAGCAAGTGTCCACATCAGAAAAGCTTGGTCAGCTGGTGGGAGCATCATGACGCAGCATTGGGAGAGGAGGAAGGCGGTAGCTGCAGGCCGAACACGTCATGTAGGGTGTTCTCACATCAGCGTGTAAATAGGATGCCGGGGAAACTTGAAAGCAGCTGTATTCCCTCTTCAAGTTATTTGAAAATGGGACTTCATGTTTTTTATAGACCATATACAGGAATATAAAATTTAAATGATGTCCCTTAACCATTACATGAATCACTGCATAATGAGTGTGTATTTTTCAGATATGTTTCTGTGTCTATGCAGTTTTGTCTAATGGACATAAAGCACATGTGTAGCTCTGCACCTGCTCTGTTCATTTATACTTTGGTCAACAGCTCTGTGTTCTGTATCTCTAGACCTATCTGTAGGAGATAGTTTGAGCTCCAGAGTACAGATTAGCAAATATATTGTGTTTTTCAGATGTGTGACATATGCTTACTTAGACTGTATTGAGGAGTTTCATCAGTAATGCACATAGTGGATCATGCAAAGCCTGTTCTGCTTAGGAGAAATGAGTTTCGTTGGTTGCCGCAGTTTCTGTCATAACAGCGTATCGGCAAATGAACCGAGGGAAATAACTCTCATAAAAGAAAGGAACACTGACTCAACACCACGCTTAGGGATTTGCTGGAAGTTTGAAGCAGTTGCAGTATTGTTGATATGGTTGTTTCTGTTAGTGGGCAGGAAGCTATTATGCTTTAGGTTGTTGAATTCCCCTTCGGTGATGTTGACTTGTTATATTCCCTGTCTCTGTTCTTTCATCTAGGATCCAAGCTACTGGATACAGGTGCATCGCTTGGAGCACGGAGATGGAGGGATACTAGACCTGGATGACACCCTCTGTGATGTAGCCGATGATAAAGACCGGGTGAGTTCCTCCCTGGGGAGGTTGCTCTGAGAGCAGCTGTCCAGTGCTGGGGAGGGGCGGGCAGGTAGGGCGCTGTCCTTTCGGACCGCCACTCCAGCATACTTCCTTTGATAAGTTCCAGGAATCATCACTATCCTGAGTATCAGGGAAGAATCATTTTCTGGAAACTGGGACTAAGTTTTGGAATTTTTCACTGCAAAGTTAAAACTGAAATATTGCAAAAACGTTTTCTGTGGCTTTTTTTTTTTTTAACCTGTTTTTGCCAAACATAGCATCTTCCTGGACACCTACATCATCCGTCCTGAGGAAGACTGTCAGAGTAGGATATTCAGGGGCCTGAGTTTTGGTCTGCACCCCGACACCTGGCCCAAGCAGAGCTGTTCTGCTGCAGGAGGAGCGGAAGCAGCACAGGCGTCCTCCCGGGTGCCTGGCTGCGGCTTCCCACCACACTTTGTCCTCAGTGTGATCTGAAAGTTGTGCGTCGTGACTGTTGTCACCCTTGGCATGTTAGTGGCACCTTGTTATGACCCCCTTCCTTTTTCTCTGTCCTCTTGGGATGAGGGTGAGGAGGTGGCTGAGGAGTAACGACTCTCAGTATTTTAGGAATTTGCAGCAGGGTGCTTGTGTGGAGAAGTCAGCAGATTGCCTGGCTTCTTCAGTGAGGGAGAAAGATTGTGGGCAGGAGCTTCTTGGATACACCTTTGTTTATGGTTGAACTGAAACCGCAGGAAGGCTCAGGCTGCTGGGTCACTGCCTGATTCATCCACGTCCTCATGAAGCTTCGCTGTCAGACCTGTGGGTGTCACGCATCAGGTGACCTCAGGAGGCTGGAAGATGGCGAAATCTCTGGCACTCGGATCCCTTCCCCCTCAGGTCCCTTCCCTGTCCCTTTGGCATCTGCACTTGAGTGGGCTGAGTGAAGCCGTCACCCTGCCTGCTCAGCGAGGGCAGAAGCTGTACATGTTTTCTTGGAACCTCAAAGAAAACAAAACTAAGGCCAGCTATGAATGCTGCATAAGCTCAGGGGTGTTTGATTCTGTAGCACCTGCCTCAGAGGAGCTCGTGCCATGTAGCTGCTATGGGCTGGGAACTCGGTGTGTCAGGAAACAAAGGTCTTTCCTGCCTGTGTGTGATTTCATGCTGTTTTTCTTGGTGCCACTTCTCCAAGGAATAGGGTAGCTATCAAGGCTGATGCAGGAATATCACAACTTTGAGCCCAACCTGAGCAACTTAGTGAAGTCTCATCTCGAAAGGGGGAAGGCAAGGGCTGTAGCTCATTGCAGAGGCCCAGAGTTCAAGCCCTGGTACTAGAAAGAGAACAAGTTTTCCTGCAAACCACATGAAGAATACTGTATAAGCATTTCCAACTGCAACCTGCCACCCCCCTTTTTTAAAAAAAGTTATGACAGTATGTAAGAAGGAAGTTTCCGTAATTGCACACATTGGCCATGGTATGCGTGGCATTCTGAATGTGGGCATTCTGGCATTCTGAATGTGGGGCACCTTAGGTTACAGTCATCCGCTCTGTGTCCAGGTCCCACACAAAAAGTAGCCACAGAGATTTTTGGAGTTTCTGTGGTACCTTTTATTCTTTGATGTCAGAAAGGGAGGAATGTGTGTTTCTCTTCTCTTTCCTTCCTCCTCTCCCTCATTCTCTTTCCCTCTGTCATTTTAATTTCTTGTAGAGAAAGAGCACAAGCCCCAGTGCTTCTTGGTGGATTACCTGCTTAGTGTGGCAGGGCCCTGGGTTTCACCTCAGAGCCCCCAAAAAGAAGCAAAGGAAGAACAACTCCAAAAATTGGAAAATGCAAACCCCTCTGCAGAAGAAAACAATCACTTAATCGTCCCCAGACTGTTTATCTGAGTGGGCTTTTCACCCTGACCCTTCTTTTTATGTGGATAGGAGCCCTTGGTCCTAAGTATGGATCCGTTAGCCCCAGCTGGGCCACCGTGCTTGTGCTGACTTTGCTTTAGGAATTGGTGTTCTCTGCTGCTCAGCTTTTGTCCTGAATGCTAAGAAAGTGGAGGGGATGCTGTGTGCTGTCCTCACCAGCATCATCTGTATTCAGAACTTTGAGGTTTCTGTCCCCCACCCCACTGGGAATTGAACCCAGGGCCTTCACACTGAGGTACCTCTCTAGACATACTTTATTTTTTTTAATTGTGGGGCAGGGTCTGGCCAAGTTGCTCTGGTTGGGTTTGGACTTTTGATCCTCCAGCCTCAGCTTCCTGTGGTGCTGGGATTCAGGTGTGTGCCACAACAGCTGGCTCCCTTTTGCTGGTTTCCTCATTCTCCTTTACCCTTGGATTTGGTGCTTTCCATTGAATTGAGGCAGCTTATCATGTGGTGGTTGCCGTACGCCTGCCTCTGGCCCAGAGCTGGGGTAAGGAGGCTGCAGTACGCCTGCCTCTGGCCTAGAGCTGGGGTAAGGAGGCTGGGCTGCCCTGTGAGGAGGATTCACAGCACTCTGCACATCTGCAGCCCCTGGGTGCTGAGCTGCTTGGCATGTTTGTACTCAGCACATTGCCACCAGGTTAACAAGTTGCCTGCTGCCCTCTCCATTGTTCCTGCACCCAAGACATTGTTCCTGTACCCTGTCAGTTTACATTTTGAGGCCAAAGAAACCAAAAGAAACCAGTTGGGTTAAGGTGGCTGGCCCTGCTGACCCTTGAGGTGATTTTGTAAAGATAAATAAGTCAATTAGTTTATTTGGTACAGGGTCTCGCTATACAGCTCGGACTCAGTGATCCTTCTGTCTCAGCCTCCTTAGCACTGGGATTATAGGCACGTGTCACCATGCCCAGTTTTGGGGGCTGGCACAGTATATGATGCCAGGGATTGAACCCAGGTCCTTGTGTTTGCTAGGCAGGCACTTAGACTGCTGAGCAATCTCTCTGCCCCCTTGAAGTGATTTGTGGCCAGGCAGCCAAGCTACGCAACCTTTTAGCACAAGTTGTTAGAGTGCACACACACAGAGCAGAGCCAGCGAGGTCCAGTTTTCCAAAGCCATTGCATATTTTTTTATTTTTTATTTTTTTATGATCAGCTCAGCCCACCTTGGGGGTGGGGCTGGCATGGCATGTGGTACTGGGGATCAAACCGAGGTTCCTGCATGTTTGCTTAAGCTTGCCTAAGCAGGCGCTTTAGACCACTGAGCTATCTCGCCAGCCCTAAAGCCATTGCATATTAAAGTCACAGGATTCTCAATGAATTGTATTTTAGATTTTGTATTTTGTGATTTTGTGAATTTGATGTTGACAAATCTATATATTGTCTAGAATCTTTTATTATATTTTCTATACAAATTAATTTTTTTTTGTCATACTGGAGATGAAACTCAGGGATGTTCTACTGCTGACTTACGTCCTCAGCTCTTTAAAAATTTTTGCTTATCTTTTGATTATTATTATTATTATTATTATTATTATTATTTTTTTTTTTCTTTCAGAACCGGGGATGGGGATTGAACTCAGGCCCTTGTGCTTGCCAGGGAAGCACTTATTCCACTGAGCCATCTCCCTGGCCCATCTTTTGATTTTTGAGGCAGGGTCTTACTGAGTTACTCAGGGTGGTCTCCAACTTGTGATTCTGCTGCCTTTTCTTCCCCATGCTGGGATTATAAGTGTGCACCAACACACCTAGCTACATAAAAAAATTTATTCAAGAACAGTTTTAGTCATGAATAAGTACAATTGTGTATTAGACAAATTTATATTACACTGGTTGAAATTGGTTTCCAAATGGAGCAGTGGTAGAGTCCTGTGTACCAAAGACCAAAGTGTCTTTTAAATCTGTGCTTCTTTTTTTTTTCTTCCAGAAATGTGATAATCTAAATATAATAATTTAGAATTATATGAGTAACTTCTAAGTGAGAGAGTTTGTTTTAAGCTGAAACTATAAAAGAGGCATTTAATAATCTAAACCTGTAGCACCCATACTCACAGGTATTGGACACATTATTCAAACAAGGTTGGGTGGTCTAATCAGTCCTATGGCTCTTGTCCATGGCTCTGAAATTTGATTCTGGTTTAATTATTTTGGAGTGTTTTCAAGTATTTCTGGCAGCTACTCCACTGAGTAAATGATCTTGATGCTCATTTTGCTTTTAGGCCAAAAAAAAAAAAAAAAAAAAGGCAAAATGTTACAGTACTCCTAAATACTACAATTTCTCTTAGAAATGCCCTGTGTGGTGAAAAGGCTCTGGACTCATGTTTCAAAGGAAGAAGCCCAGCTGGGGACTCAGGCCCCTGAAATCCAGCCCAGCACCTGTGTTTTCCAACCCCTTGTAGCTGTCAGTTAGGGTTACACAAACTTCAAAGTCGTGCCTTTGATGGGGAGAAGTCATGTAAAGGTGCATATGGGGTCCTTGGTCACCCTGAATTTTTGGTTAATGATGGTCAGATAAGGATTAGGAAGCAAAATTCTAAATGACAACTAAAGAAAATGTAAGTACTCAGAAAGCCATGATGTTGCTCATTATCCTAGTTACTGGGGGGGGGGGGTCAGTATGAGAGCACCTCGGAAGTGCGCTCCTGTGCAATCCGATTCCATATCCAGGAGTTGCCAGGCCTGCTAACCGCTAGTAGGGGTTGTCAAGCAGAGCAGATCTGAGATCTGCTTTGGGTACAGCAGTGTTCCCTGCTTCTCTCTCTCCATATCATTGCTTTCTTCTGGGGACCAGAGCATGGGCAGTGGGTGCTATCCCTATGCCCTACACACCCGTAACTTCTCAGCCTACCTAGTGGACTTTTGCCAAGTTCTGGAAACTGGAGATGAGTTTTGTGCTCTTGTCAGCATGCCTAGGCCCACTGCCTCGCTCTTGTCTGTGTGGCAAGCTGCTCAGTGTTACCTGGTTTTCAGTCTGGTTTGGTCTCCATCGTTATTTCAGAGCCTCCCTCTCCTGAGTCCAGGTCACTCCCGCTGCTCCTCTGCATTACTGTAAGTTTAGAAATTCCCAGACTTGCCCCCAGATAAGCACCTTCAGGACTCGCTGAGGCTG